TTTTTTTTTCATATTACGCCTTGCTTTTACTCATATCCGGTTACGCCTTGCTTTTACTCGTTTCCTCTTACGCATTGAGTTTGCTGGTTTCCTCTTACGCCTTGAGTTTGCTGGTTTCCTCTTACGCATTGAGTTTGCTAGTTCCCTCTTACGCCTTGAGTTTGCTAGTTCCCTCTTACGCCTTGAGTTTGCTGGTTTTCTCTTACGCCTTGAGTTTGCTGGTTTCCTCTTACGCATTGAGTTTGCTGGTTTCCTCTTACGCCTTGAGTTTGCTGGTTTCCTCTTACGCATTGAGTTTGCTGGTTTTCTCTTACGCCTTGAGTTTGCTAGTTCCCTCTTACGCCTTGAGTTTGCTAGTTCCCTCTTACGCCTTGAGTTTGCTAGTTCCCTCTTACGCCTTGAGTTTGCTGGTTTCCTCTTACGCCTTGAGTTTGCTGGTTTCCTCTTACGCCTTGAGTTTGCTCTTTTCCTGTTATGCCTTGCTTTTTATAATATCCGTTTCGCCTTATTTTTGCTTATATCTGGTTATGCCTTGCTTTTACTCATATCCAGTTACTCCTTGCTTTTGCTCTTTTCCGGTTACGCCTTACTTTTTGTTATTTTCCTGTTACACATTATTTGTACTCGTATCCGGTTACGCCTTACTTTTTGTTATTTTCCTGTTACACATTATTTGTACTCGTATCCGGTTACGCCTTACTTTTTGTTATTTTCCTGTTACACATTATTTGTACTCGTATCCGGTTACGCCTTACTTTTTCTCTTTTTTTATGGTACGCCGTGCTTTTGTTCTTTCCCTGTTATGTCTTACTTTTCTCCTTGTTATACCTTACTTTTCTTCTTTTTCTGTTATGTCTTACTTTTGTTCTTTTCCTGTTACACTTTGACTTTGCTTTTTTTTTTTTTTTTTTTTTGCTAATCTTGCTTTTGCTCTCATCCTACTATGCCTTAGTTTTCCTCTTTTGTTGTTACTTTTTTTTTTTTTTTTTTTGGTTCCTATTTTTTCTTAAATTTGCAATTTTTCTGTTAAAGCTTACTTTTGTTTTTTTTTCCTTTTACATCTCACATTTGTTCTTTTCCTGTTACATCTCACTATTATTCTTTTCCAGTTACATCTCACTTTTGTTCTGTTACACCTCACTTTTGTTCTGTTACACCTCACTTTTGTTCTCTTCCTGATACATCTCACTTGTGTTCATGTTACACATCACTTGTGTACTGTTGCTGATACATCTCACTTTTGTACTGTTCATGTTACACCTCACTTTTGTTCTGTTACATCTCACTTTTGTTCTGTTACACCTCACTTTTGTTCTGTTACACCTCACTTTTGTTCTCTTCCTGATACATCTCACTTGTGTTCATGTTACACATCACTTGTGTACTGTTGCTGATACATCTCACTTTTGTACTGTTCATGTTACACCTCACTTTTGTTCTGTTACACCTCACTTTTGTTCTCTTCCTGATACATCTCACTTGTGTTCATGTTACACATCACTTGTGTACTGTTGCTGATACATCTCACTTTTTTACTGTGCTGATACATCTCACTTTTGAACTGTTCCTGATACATCTCACTTTTGTACTGTTGCTGATACATCTCACTTTTGTTCTGTTCCTGATACATCTCACTTTTGTACTGTTCCTGATACATCTCACTTTTGTACTGTCGCTGATACATCTCACTTTTGTACTGTTGCTGATACATCTCACTTCTGTACTGTTGCTGATACATCTCACTTTTGTTCTGTTCCTGTTACATCTCACTTTTGTACTGTTGCTGATACATCTGACTTTTGTACTGTTCCCATACATCTCACTTTTCTACTGTTGCTGATACATCTAACTTTTGTACTGTTGCTGATACATCTCACTGTTGTACTGTTGCTGATACATCTCACTTTTCTACTGTTGCTGATACATCTCACTTTTGTACTGTTGCTGATACATCCCACTTTTGTACTGTTGCTGATACATGTCACTTTTATTATTTTCCTGTCATATTTGTCAGTGTCGTCGGCGTCTACAACTTAAGCGTTTCTCGAGAGTAAATGTGAGTGTTTTTGTGCGTGTATGTGAGAGTGTATGTGAGTGTGTGTGCATGATTGTTTTTGTGGGAGTGTGTGTGAGTGTGTGTGTGTGCGTGTGTGAGATTAAATGTGAGTGTTTGTGTGCGTGTGTGTGTGAGTGTGTGCGTGTTTTTGGGAGTGTATGTGAATGTGTCTGTGTGCCTGTGTGCGTCAGGCGCGCCGCTATCAAGAAATCTTTGTGCTGGTCCTTTAAACCACTATCTTTTTTTTAAACCCACTCAAGGACTAAAGCCTTGTTTAAGTGCGTAACAACAATAATGATAATAATGTTTATAATAATGCGCTGCCAAGCAATTTAATATCATAATACATAATTCTTTTAGACTGATTGGGATTTCGCAAGTCAATTTTACTTTCGGTAGTTTGCCATTGCTCCCTAAACGCATGACTCTTGATACCACTGTCGAAACCAACGCAGGGCGATCTTGGGCGGGGGGGGCGGAGGGGGGGACGACGTAGAAGCGCTAGAGCCACAGGTGCCGACATTTGTTGAGGCAATAGAAAACAACTGCTTACACAAGAGAAGGTCTTTTCTTTAAACATGGTAAGGGGAAAGAAACCATTCAATCCCTTGCACTTTTTTTTGGGGGGGGGGGGGGGGGAACTGTGGATCGGAAGGTTGTGGGCTCGGTTCCTGCCGAGGGCCGTTTTTTTTTTTTTTTTTATAAATGACCTTGGCTTCCATGAACAAGGTACAGTCATGTCTGTGATCTGGGCATTGGACTTACCAAGTGACGTTTGCTCTATACAATATAGGTCTAGTCCTATATACCCAATACACATGAAACGCCTGGAAAAAGGTCCTTTTTACATGTTCAGGCTACATCGGGATCTGAACCCGCGATCTTCGGATCAGCAGGGGAGCATATGGCCTCTACGCCATAAGGGAATCTCGAAAACAGAATAGTTAAATAGTTTTTCCTCAGGCAGTCAAGAGAACCAATTTCTGTCAAAATTGCAGTGTCCCCCAAATCGACGGGGCGAAATTGAAACCGTCAGAGCATGAATTATATTCGAAAATCAATCGTAGAATTCGCTGCTGTTCAGGGGTCGACATGCATCACAGCTTCCGAAAATTGGATTTTAAAAAAGTGTATCTATGAGTTAATTCTGTAACGCTCAAACGAATGTGTATCTTGTGGAATCTGAGTAAAGTATTGGCCTTTTTTTTTTTAAGAAGGGGTGGGATGGAGATGGGGTGGTGTTATGTGGCGCCACTGAATAGAATTGCATTTGACTCATCATTATGTAGCAGGTCCTTTGCAGAACGTCGCTCTCATCACAGTCTGCCCGAAAGAAACTGGGTATCTCGCCAGCTGTCTCGCCTCATGCACTTTCAGACTCAAGGAGTCACTTTTATTATGTGCCCATATTTGTGTCGGTCGGCCCCTGCCTCTCCTTCCTGGTACCATGCCTTCTGCTATAATTTTTTTCCAATCCGTCGTGGCGCTTGATATGACCAAACTATTTTAGCTTCCGAGAAACGATGCTGTTTATTAGCCAATCTACCTTAATGTTCAGATCTTTTAAGATGTCAGTATTTCTCATCTTCTTTGTCCAAGACATTCTGAGAATCTTTCTATAGCATTTCAGCTCAAAGGCCCTATTTTCTTTCATTTGACTACCAGTTCAAAATGTCGTATGTTTAAATACACAGATGGTCTTAGAGTTAGTAAAGGTTTCAACTTCCCTGCAATCGGGTTTCTGCAGATGCACTGCGACTTCGAAGGAAGTTCTTAATTAGTCAACTCTTAAGACATGTTTGTTGGCGAGACAGTGGGTCTAATCTTGTTTTCCCCAGCAATGGGGCCCCGGAACCCACACAGGGTAATACAAATATGAGTCCGCTTCATTTGCCCTCCCGGTGTGGATAGTGGAGCCTCTTGAAAGGTCGAGATAGACAAGAACTTCTTGGGAAGCGACTAATTAGGGGTTGAGTTACGTCTGATGTGTTGTGTTCTTTTGTTTTACAGACAGTGGGAGGACAACAGAAAACAAATCACTGTTTTTGTGTCGTGACTCTCACTGTGACCAGAAAAACACACTTTGTTTGAAATGCCAGTATTTTGCCAGATTCATTTCGTGTACTCAGGCTACATATAATATCTAGTCATCACCCTGTGGGATGCAATTTTTCGTTATTTGAAGCTCTACTCTGACTCTTGCCAGGGGCCGCAATATAGCCCGGCCATAAATATGGTCTAATGGCTGAACGCGGTTTTTAGAACCTCTCCACGGGTGATCCTCATTCACATGGTGTTTATTGCTTGTGTAATGTCCTGGTGGGGTAAAAATAGATAGACAGTGTACTCGGGCTAAACGTACTAATATTTCATGTAGAGGCTAAACGTGAGAAGTTTACTAATAAACCATTCGTTGATTGGGATGCGCAGATAAAAGCCTAGGAAACATGATGTGTTTTTTTAAGACTTGTCTTATGTGTAAGCTTATTTGAGGAAAAAAAAAAGTCGGGTAAATGGCCTTGTTTGCTTGTGTGTGTGTTTTTGGGTTCAAGAAATCCTTTTTTTTTTCGTTGGCGTCTGTGGCTTAGGCGTTGCGGACACGCCGGACACGCTTCGTAAAGCCGGGGTGCAGGGTTCCATCCCAACTTCAGGCGATTTGGCAGCAAGCCTTCCTGCGTTGGTTTCGACGGTGGTATCAAGAACCGATCGTTGAGTACATGGCCCAGAAAATAGATTTGCTAGGGTAGGTTCTGCAACCTCCTATAGAGGGTATGCAAGTACTGTTTAAATTGTATTAAAGAAATCTCCAGCGAATCACGTGATGTTCATTTTATTAAATCATCTTTCTTGTCTTTGTTTGCTCAGGAAATCCCCAGCAGATCACATGAAATATGCCAGTGTCACCAACGGACCAGGACTGTCGGCAGAGCCTCACAAATACAACATGGCCAGAAACCGCTACCATAGTCATCACTATGGTTACCGTCAGGGCCAAGGTCGAACTGCCCTGGGCATCATTGCAGAACTGGGATCTGAAAGCAACGCCCATGGACTGGCAAAAATCGTCACATCCCGGGATACCAAGAGAAAAGTCATCTGGGCCTTGTTGGTGATTGTCGGATTTACAGCTGCTACTTTGCAACTGTCTCTGTTAGTCAGGAAATATTTACAGTTCCAAGTCATTGAACTGTCTGAGATTAAGGACAGCATGCCGGTGGGATACCCCTCGGTGTCTATCTGTAATATTGAGCCTATATCGCTGCGGTCAATACGTCGAATGTATGTAAACAACGAGACTCATAATTTAATCGACTGGCTTCGCTTTATTCAGGATTTTCGTTTCGAACAGGAGTCGTTTATGAATAGCATCCGTGCATTTTATGAGAACCTTGGCGATGATGCTAAACGAGTAAGCCATGACCTAGAGGATATGTTGATACATTGTAGGTTTAACAAAGAGAATTGCAGTGTCCTAAACTTCACCACTTTCTTTGACGGAAACTACTTCAACTGTTTCACCTTCAACGGGGGAAACTCCAAAGATCAACTACAGATGCACGCAACTGGTCCGGAAAATGGCCTTTCTCTGATTGTCTCTGTGGAGAAAGATGACCCTATGCTGGGGACGTACGGAGTCTACAACTTTGACAACAATATCCTACACAGCGCTGGAGTTCGGGTTGTGGTACACGCCCCTGGCTCAATGCCAAGTCCTGTGGACCATGGTTTCGACATTCCACCTGGCTACTCTTCTTCTGTTGGTCTCAAAGCTATCCTCCATACACGACTTCCAAGACCATACGGAAACTGCACGGAGGATTCGTTATCCGGAATCCGAACCTACAGAAACACATTCTTCGCTTGCTTACAGTTATGCAAACAACGACTAATAATCCAGCGGTGCGGGTGTAAATCATCGGCGTTGCCTGAAGTCCCCAGTTATAACGTGTCTTTCTGTGGCACTATCAGAGATTGGCAGACGATTTATTACAACAAGTCGGGACACTGGATGAGTGGGATGCTCATTCCTACCCCAACTCTTGCATGTGAAGAACGTGAGCAGAAGAAGTTAAACAATGACCGAGCTTATGAGAGTAACTGTGGGTGTTTTCAACCATGCAGTGAGACATCGTATTTGAAGTCGGTCTCGCTATCCTATTGGCCGCTGGAGTTCTATCAGCTAAGTGCTTTAGAGGTATGGTTGTTACGCTTGTGTTCTTGATGATGTTAGTTATGGTCAGTGGTGTAGTCATGCAAGGGTGCATCACGGTACTTTTTGTTGTCGACAGTGCGCTCATTGGGTCAAACAATTGCAATAATTATTTGAATGTTAAATTTCACTGTGCTATCATTAATAGTAATGTGACCATCTTAACAAATGTTATAATGATAATGGTTATGATGATTATGACGACGTTGATGATGATGATGATAATGATGACGACGACGATGATCATGATGAGTGGGGGTAGGCAATGAAAGAGATCGATAATAAAAAGAAAATGTACTAGAAAAAAGACAGACAAAACAGCAACAATCCTACTTCTTCTTCTTCGTCTTCACTCTGGCGGAAAGTTCAGGTTATTTGTCCAATTCTGAACTGCAGCCCTGCTCCCGAACCTGAGTGTTGCGTGGGCATAAGTTTCACAGATCTGATTCATTTGAATGAAGACTGTTGGTTCCCTGCCTCAGTTGCAGATGCACTCCGACTTCAAAGGAAAAAATCTTACTAATAATGAATTCATTAGTAACAGTATCTTGTGTAGCCTAACTTTTCTTTAATGACATAACAGTGCTGTCTGCTGAAAGAAATTCTGATCCGAACAAGCAAGGCAACAACAGGCTTTAAAAGTCCGAAACAGAATACTGAACTCTAAATTTTGTAGTCTTAAAAATCAAGTTACCTTTTGTAGTTTTAATCTTTTTTTTTTTCCAATTTCATAATACGCCAAGTGAAGATAAAAGAAGCACTAAAGACGTGGAACAAAATTTAAATACATTAAAATGTTTGAGGGTGTTGGTGAATATTAAATGGGGTGCTTTCTACACAGATAAAATAAAAAATAAAAAAGAATGTTTGGACAATCGATTGTAAAATCTATTGTACGAATCAGAAGATGGCAATATATAGGATACATTAAGAGGAGAAGCTGACTGAGATTTTTTTTTAAAAACTGCATTGGGAACCAGTGAACTGTGGAAATGAGAACGACCATGAGAAAACTGAGACGAACTTAGCTGAGAGAGTCCAGGGGCAATGGACTAGATGCCATCCACGAAATGGAGAGAATTGCAGAGGATAGACCTGGTTCGATGTCTAGACTAGCGCTTCATAATTTATAACGGCACATTAGGATAATAATGATGATGATGTTAAGTTAGTTGGGTATTCTTTACAGGACGTTGCAGAACCAGCCATAATTTTTTGTCTGTTGTGGTTTTACTAGGCATATTTTACGTTCAGTATATTGCCATTGCTTTCAGGACAGTCAGCTCTCTGTACTCTGCCGAAACCAACGCAAGACACAAGTCTGCGGCTAGGGTCAAACCCGGCACCCCAGCATTAGGAATCTGATTCGCAGCGCCTAAGCCACAAACTCCATCGGTGATGTATTCAGTCGGCTTAAGGGCCCTTCTGGATATTTTCTTTTTCCATGCATGACCTTGGCTCCCAGGTCGACCCTCTTTTGAGTGCTGCTGATCCACATTCGCCCCATGAGTCTCTTTCTCGTCCTGCATCCTTGAGAGCATTGAAAATGTTGACCCAGTCCATTGCCAACACAAGTGACCAGCCTTGATGACATCAAATACGTCAAATCCGCGGCACGCTGTTGAACATATTTCCTAGACGGTGGGTAGTGAGTGCAGGGACTGGCCAGCTGGCGCTGCAGAATCTGAAGTTCAACAAATTATTCATGACAATTCCCACCCAAGTGATGTGATTATCTATACAAATGGCTTTGTGTTGAGGTGTAGACAAAGTGCACGGGGGTTCATAGCAAAACAAATGGATTTTGCTTAGTGCAACAAAGCATGGCATATGATATCACAACGTCTAGTTTGAGAATGGAGGTGGAGGCAGTCACTGCTGCCTTCCGCTAGCTTGAGAATCAGCTGTACACAAATGCCGTGATTGGGACTGACTCACAGAGCATGTTGAGAAATGTGGAGGCAGGTATGCTCAGTGCAGAGGTCCCGGGTAGTTAGCCTCCTTTGGATTTTCTCTAAATCATGCCGGTGTTTTGGGAAATGATCAGACGTAGAGACTTGTCGGTAATGCTCCACTTGTTGATGAACTGATGTATGACAAGCTAGATGTTGTGAGGGCCCTCTAGGAGCGAGTGAACAGTTGGGAAGCGCAAATAGAACATTGCGGTCTGAGGAGAATTGCGCTGCGGGGAATTACCAGGGATTTGACCGATGCTCAACACTCAAGGGAAAGACAAGACGGATATACAATCAGACAGTGAATGGTGCCATCGGAATTGGAACGCTTCGTTTGCTGCTGAAGATGGTGACGGAGCGGTTATGGAATTTTCCCGAGTGCTATGATGCTATGAGTGCTATGCTATGATGTTAAATCTTAATTTAGCATTCATTCCAAGACGGTTTTAGCTCAGGTGCACGAAATTCGGAAGCACCGACGAAAATCTAGAATTACAAAAATGGACTTTCGGGTTTTTAATTGTATGCGACCACATCACCTTGGCTTTAGGACTTGGTAGGGAAGACCCCAGAGCATCCCATCGTGTAGGGAGTTTAGGGTTAGGCTTAGCAGTAGTCGCTTTTCATTTAACACTAGCGCCCCCCCCCCCTTTCCATAATATGGTACTATCCAGGAAAACCCCGTTAAATACCTATGGATTCCCTACAACGAAAAGAAATATCAGGTGTGGCTTCACACCACAAAGAATAGGAAACCACGAATAGGAAACCACGAATAGGAAACCAAGAATAGGAAACCACGAATATGAAACCCAAAAAGATAGCCAAAGAACCTTCCTTCATATAGCAGGCCTCCTGGCGGCTGAACAAGGATCACATTTGGAATTGTTGTTAATCAACTGGAATTGGAATAGCAAATATCGTAGCCGTTTTCATGTGTTCGTTTAAAATCAAAGTACCGGACTTCCTTTATTTCTTTTGCATGACACTAACTACATACAATGCGCGTAGGCAATTCTCTTTGTGTATAATTAGTGGCGGTTAGAAAACACAACAATGATCGCTGCCATCTTTCCCCGGAATGTCGCAAAGAAAGCCATAAACCTTTCACGACTATCCAGTGTTGTTTCTGTAATAAACAACGCTCAGCAATTCTGGGGACACAGTCTTCATTTCAGAGTTTATCTGAGCGTCCGCAAAATGGCAGACGTCTGGCAACCCTAAATAAACACTAAAATACTTTCTTTTTTTCGTTTTCGTTATACACTCACACTGGCTTCTTTCAGTGTATTTTATGACTGTGTTCACCCAGTGGAATGCTGTGTTCGTGTTGAACACGTCTCCTTCAATTTTATCTTCAGCGTATTCATTGAAAGGTAGCTTTATTTCAATATACCCAATGGACTTTATATCTGCAGTTATAGTCTAATTTTTTTTTTTAAATTCAGTAACTATGAGTCCAAAGGTCGGCTCTGTGGCTAAGTTGATGCAAACGCTTTGTAATTCATGGATGCCGGGTTCGATCCGACCTGCGGGCCATGCGTCTTGCGTTGGTTTCGACAGTGGTATCAAGAAAGCCCTGTCCAGAAAGCAATGGCAAACTACTGGTCGTAAATTTGCCTAGAAAAACCACACAACAGCCACAGGGCTGTTGGCCTGCATAGTCCTGTAAACTATACGCAACTACCCCTTTGGCTCATTACTTTGGATATCGCAACCCCTCGGCCTTGATTCCGTGATAGATACCGTAAACCTGAGAAATATGTTGCTTTCCTGTCT